CCACTGATGGACCTCTGCTCCAGATGCTTATCCAATTCCCTCTTGAAGCCGTCCCTGCTTGTAGCCGCCCCCCCCTCCTGTGGCAGTGAATTCCATGTGTGAATCACTCTCTGGGTGAAGAAGTATGTCTTTTTATCTGTTCTAACCTGACCGCTCAGCAATTTCATGGAGTGCCCACGAGTTCTTGTGTTGTGAGAAAGGGAGAAAAGGACTTCTTTCTCGACCTGCTCTATCCCATGCATAATCTTGTAAACCTCGATCATGTCACCCTTCAGCCGTCGTTTCTCCAAGCTAAAGAGTCCCAAGAGTTTTAACCTTACTTCACAGGAAAAGGCTTTCAACCCTTTGATCATTCCAGTTGCCCTTTTCTGTACTTTTTCCAATGCTATAATATCCTTTTTGAGATGTGGTGACCAGAACTGTACACAGTACTCCAAATGAGGTCACACCATTGATTTATACAGGGGCATTATGATACTGGCTGATCTGTTTTCAGTTCCCTTCCTAATAATCCCCAGCATAGCATTGGCCTTTTTTTATTGCAGTCGCACACTGTCTCAACATTTTCAGTTAATTATCTACTATGACTCCAAGATCTGTGTCTTGGTCAGTCCCTGCCAGTTTGGACCCCATCGACGTGTATTTATAGTTAGGGTTTTTGGCCCCAATATCCATCACTTTGCATTTGACCACATTGAACCCCTGTTAAAATGGACCTGTGGTCTGTGATATTAATTTCAGTTCAGCATGTGTTTTGCTCCCTCTAGTGGTCGATTCGAAATAACACCCGTTTGTGTCCAGCATATGTCCCTGCGGTGAGTTATCTACTAGGACTCAGGTCAGTCTCGTCAATTCGGACTGGCAGCGGCTCTCCAAGGTCTCAACAACAACAAGAAAAACAGTGCAATAGTGCGCTAAGTATAAAGAGAACACAACTTTTTTTAACAATTGTGTGCTGAATTCCTTCTGTGTGCTGAAGTGACTAAAGTACATACATTTAACATTATTACAAAATATCCATTGCCAAAATTATAAAGACCATCGATTTGGCTATACCAGCCTTGCTAAACGGGCGCTCTTTGGATGGCTGTGATAATGTATGTAATGGATATTTTGGTAATATCGTTAAATGTATGTCCTTTGGTCACTTCAGCACACAGAAATAATTCAGCACTCAATTCTTTAAAAAGTTGTGTTCTCCTTATTTAGTGCGCTATTGCACAGTTTTTCTTCTTGCTTTGACCTTCTGACTGTGCTTCTTCTCCAGGGTCTGAGGAAGAGGTCTTTCCCATCACCCCCTACCTGGTCTTTTAAACTGGAGATGACAGGGATTGAACCTGGGACCTTCTGCATGTCAAGCAGAGGCTCTGCCACTGAGCCAGGGTCTCAGGTCAAGGTCTTTCCCATCACCTCCTTCCTGGTCCTTTTTAACTGGAGATGCCGGGGACTGAACCTGGGACCTTCTGCATGTCAAGCAGAGGCTCTGCCACTGAGCCAGGGTCTCAGGTCAAGGTCTTTCCCATCACCTCCTTCCTGGTCCTTTTTAACTGGAGATGCCGGGGACTGAACCTGGGACCTTCTGCATGTCAAGCAGAGGCTCTGCCACTGAGCCAGGGTCTCAGGTCAAGGTCTTTCCCATCACCTCCTTCCTGGTCCTTTTTAACTGGAGATGCCGGGGACTGAACCTGGGACCTTCTGCATGTCAAGCAGAGGCTCTGCCACTGAGCCAGGGTCTCAGGTCAAGGTCTTTCCCATCACCTCCTTCCTGGTCCTTTTTAACTGGAGATGCCGGGGACTGAACCTGGGACCTTCTGCATGTCAAGCAGAGGCTCTGCCACTGAGCCACAGCCCCTCCCTGGGTGCAAAATAGCAGGTAAAGGTAAAGTTTTCCCTTGCTCAAAAGTTAGTCGAATCCAACTTTAGGGGGCAGGGCTCATCTCCATTTCCGAGCCGCAGAGCCAGCGCTGTCCGAAGACCTTTCCGTGGTCATGTGGCCGGCATGACTAAATGCCGAGGTGCACGGAACGCTGTTACCTTCCCACCGAAGCGGTACCTATTTATCAACTTGCAATTTCTTGCTTTCGAACTGCTAGGTTGGCAGGAGCTGCGGCCAGAGACAGGAGGTCACTCCGTCACGCGGCACTCGGGTCTCGAACTGCCGAACTACTGACCTTCCAGTCTGCAGTTCAGTGTCTTAACCTCTCAGCCACCGTAGCCCCAAAGAACAGCGAGGATGACTGAAATGTGGTTAACACCTTAGAAAGTTCTTTTCATTAATGGGTGCATAATTGTGTGTATGGAGAGGAGTCTCTTTAATAAACTGTTTTTTTTAAAAAAAGTTGGTTTTTAAGGGTACAACAGCTCTCCGCCGCATGAACATAAGAACATCAGAGACGCCAATGTTGGATCAGGCCAAATGCCCATCCAGTCCAACACGCTATGTCACACAGTGGCCAGAAATACCAGTGCCTTTCTTCACAGCATGAGTTTGTCTGGAGTCAGCTGGACGCAGGCGACCCATCTGTCGGGAGTCCGTTCTGACCCAGACGGTTTTGCCTCCAGATCGGCCGTTTCTCGCAACGCTCGCTCTACAGGAACGACCGGCAGCACCTCGGCCTCCCTTTGAGGCTTCAGGAGCTCCGCAGAGAAGGCCGCTCTCTCCCGGAGGCGTTCGGCAGCCACCTTCTAGGCCTCGAATCTCTTCTTCAGTTCCGACACCCTGGCTTGGGTCAGAGACCTGGAAACCAAAGGGTGGCGGGGAGGGCTGGTGAGCCGTCCAGCGGTTACGGTGGCCTCAGAGGACGCTCCGAGTGAGGGGACGTGGGAGCCCCTGAGGGCCGGCGGCTCTGCCTTCGGGAGGGGGGTGGCTGCCGCTGGGACCGCAAGCGTCTGGTCCGCCCTAGATGGCTGCCCAGCCTCCTCCCCTGCGTAGAACTCTGTCTCGTTGTCAGTAGGAGCGGGAGCCTCGGGATCGACGCTGGGGGTCTGTGGATCCTGGGAGGGCTCGGAATCCGTGGCCCTCTCCGCTTCTTCCTGCAAGGGAATGGCTTCGTTCTCCGGGCCGGGACTGCCACAGATCTCCTGGATGCTGTCCTCTCCGGGTGCAGTTGTGGTCGACGGCAGCAAAGCATTCTGGGTATTCTCTTCCTCCAGAGCGGCCAGGGGTATGGCGTCCTCCGACAACGAGCTCCCGTCATCCTCTTCCTCGGGCAGCGTCTCATGCAGGGTCTCCTCGCTGGGTCTCAGCTGCAACAGACAAGGGGAGTCGGGGGTGGGGGGTTTACTTCATAGAACCATAGAATGTTAGAGTTGGAAGGGATCTTGCACAGGTCATCTAGTCCAACCCCCTGCACTCTGCAGGAGCAGAGCCGAAAGAGAGCCCTACATAGAAAATGTTGGAAGGGGCCTTGCAGGTCATCTAGTCCAACCCCCTGCACTCTGCAGGAGCAGAGCCAAATGAGAGCCCTACATAGAAAATGTTGGAAGGGACCTAGCAGGTAATCTAGTCCAACCCCCTGCACTCTGCAGGAGCAGAGCCAAATGAGAGCCCTACATAGAATCACAGAATGTTAGAGTTGGAAGGGACCTGGCAGGTCATCTAGTCCAACCCCCTGCACTCTTCAGGAGAACAGCTGAAAGAGAGCCCTACATACCTACAACCACCCGAGAGATGGTCGTCCACAGCCTCCGATTGGAAACGTCCAGCGAAGGAGTCTCCACCACCTCCTGAGGCTGTCCGTTCCACTGCTCAACCAGTCTTACCGTTAGGAAGTTTCTCCTGATATTTAGCCAGTATCGACTCCCTTGTAATTTCCACCCATTAGATCTCGTCTTGCCATCCGGAGCAAGAGAGAATAGATCCGCTCCATCTTCTACATGACAGCCCTTCAGATACTTGAAGACTGCAATCGTGTCCCCTCTAAGCCTTCTCTTTCCCAGGCTAAACAGACCCAACTCTTTCAGCCTTTCCTCGTAAGACTTGGATTCCAACCCTCTCACCCTCCTGGTTGACTTCTTCTGGACACGCTCGAGCTTGTCAACACCCTTCCTGAAATGTGGTGCCCAAAACTGGACACAGGACTCCAGGTGAGGCCTGACCATAGCAGAACAGAGCAGAACCACCACCTCCCGTGATCCGGACACAAGGCTTCTCTTAATGCATCTTAAGATTGCATTCGCTTCCTTCACAGCCACATCGCACTGCAGGCTCATGTTTAGCTTGTGATCAACCAAAACACCCAGGTCCCTTTCAAGCGTGCTGCTGTCAAGCCAAGTCCCTCCCATTCTAGATCTGTGCCTTTGATTTTTTTGTACCTAAGTGTAGGACTTTGCACTTCTCTCTATTGGAATTCATTTTATTTGTCTCAGCCCCACTGTTCCAGCCTATCTAGATCATTTTGAATCCTGACTCTGTCTTCTTCAGAATTAGCAATCCCACACAGCTTCGTGTCATCTGTAAATCTGATAAGCATCCCCTCTATGTCTTCCTCCAGGCCATTTATAAAAACATTGAACAACACCTCCCTCTAAGCTGCGGAGTCTTGTGAGCAAAAATTCTACTTTGTGAGCTACTGGCGCTAAAGTTATGAGCGAGCGATTCAGCTGCTGCATCGATTAGTTTGCTCTGGAGCCCTCCTCCCTGAGCTGAGGCAAAAATGCGGGAGCCGGAGTCTAAAAGACTGTGAGCTAGCTCACACTGACTCAGCTTAGTGGGAACACTGCTCACAAGCAATGCTGTGAGTCTTGTAAGCAAAAATTCTACTTTGTGTGCTACCAGCATTAAAGTTGCGAGTGAGCGATTGGGCTACTGCCTAAATTACTTTGCTCTGGAGCCATCCTCCCTGAGCTGAGACAAAAATGTATGAGCCAGAGGCTAAAAAGCTGTGAGCTAGCTCACACTAACTCATCTTAGAGGGAACGCTGGTTACCCTCCTTTCCTTCTCAACAGTTGCAACGCTGCATTTGCACAGGACTTTGAGAAGAGAAGAAGAGAAGATTTATACCCCGTCCTTCGCTACCCGAGGGAGTCTCAGAGCGGCTTACAAACTCCTTTCCCTTCCCCTCCCCACAACAGGCACCCTGTGAGGAAGAAGAAGAAGGAGGAGAGATTGGATTTATACCCCAGCCCTTCACTACCCAAAGGAGTCTCAGAGTGGCTTACAAACTCCTTTCCCTCCCCCTCCCCACAACAGACACCCTGCGAGGTAAAAGAAGAAGGAGGAGAGATTGGATTTATACCCTGCCCTTCACTACCCAAAGGAGTCTCAGAGCTGCTGACAAACTCCTTTCCCTTCCCCTCCCCACAACAGGCACCCTGCGAGGTAAAAGAAGAAGAAGAGATTGGATTTCTACCCTGCCCTTCACTACCCAAAGGAGTCTCCGAGCGGCTGACCAATCTCCTTTCCCTTTCCCCTCCCCTCCCCACACCCTGTGAGCTATGTGGGGCTGAGAGAGCTCTTTTGAGGACTGCTCATGAGAGAACAGCTCTGAGAGAGCTTGTGACCGACCCAAGGTCACACCGGCAGCTGCACGTGGAGGAGCGGGGAATCAAACCCGGTTCTCCCAGATTAGGGGCCATGCCCCTAACCACGACACCAAACTGGGGAACCCGACACCCAGACCTCAGTGGGGCCCTACCTTAGTATAGAAGTTCCGGTCCTCCAGGCTGGAGAAGTCCAAGCTGCGTGTTCCGTAAAGGGGCCGCCCCGCTCGGCTGGGCTCCAAGAAGCTGAGTGTCTCAAAGATCTCTCCCAAGAGGTCGATCCCACCCGAATCGAGGAATCCCGGATCCAGATCTTCACCTCCAACAGTGAAGGCCTCAGGCTCCAAGGGGAAATCTGGGAGAGCTGTGCTGGAAGAGGTGGAAAATGTCCATGAAAGAACAAATGCATATGGAGACACACAAAAAGAGACTGGTGTTGGAACCACAGGAGCGGCGCTCCGGCAGTAAAGAGCCCAGGGGGTGGGCACATGCAACAAGCCCCACCCCCTGCTCCCAGCAGCCCTCAGTCAGAGCAAGAAGCAGCCAGGTAAGTTGCAGAGCTCCCCCCCCAGTCCAAAACAGTCCAGTGGCACCTTTAAGACCAAGTTTTATATAGGTACAAGCTCTTCCTCCTCTGTGAGGACAGATCTGCATGTTTCCACCCCCCCCCCAATAGCTAGCAATCCAAAAGAGTCCAGTGGAGCTTGATTGGTGGGTGTTGCCTTCTGGCACACTTCCGGTGATGTCAGGGGGTGTGGCATATGCAAATGAGTTATGTGAATGAGTTATGCTAATGAGCTCCTGCACCTCTTTTTCTACGAAATGACCCCTGGTTGGAACTACAGACCACATAACATCCAAGGAAGAGGGGTAGGTGGATGGGGGTGGACCTTTTTTAAATAAAGCATTAATGTGCCTGTGTGTATGTGGATAGAAGCTAGGGTTGCCATCCTCCAGGCGGGACCAGTAGATCTCCCAGAATTGCAACTGATCTCCAGAAAACAAAGATTCGTTACCCCACTGCTGGACCTCCTGGTGGCCCCTGGGTTTTGGCCCCTGTGTGACACAGAGTGTCGGACTGGATGGGCCATTGGCCTGATCCAACATGGGCTTGTCTTAGGTTCTTATAAGAGGGAATTGGATAAACATCTGGAGCAGAGGTCCATCAGTGGCTCTTAGCCACAAGGTATAGAGAGGAGCTCTCGGTCCAGGGCAAGGGATGCTTTGTCTTCTTGGTGCTTGGGGGGGGGCAGCACTGGGAGGGCTTCTGGTGTCCTGGCCCCACTGCTGGACCTCCTGATGGCCCCTGGTATTTCTGGCCACCGTGTGACACAGAGTGTTGGACTGGATGGGCCATTGGCCCGATCCAACACTGGCTTCTCTTGTGTTCTTATGTCTGGGGCAAGGGATGCTCTGTATTCTTGGGGCTTGGGGGTGGGGGCAACAGTGGGAGGGCTTGAGTCAGGTAGGGTACATGCTCCATTATAAGGCACTATACCCACTGGCCTTATCCCTCTAGAGATTGGGGGAAGGGGTTGCCTGAGTAAATGCTGCATTTCAACCAGAGTGGAAATACAGCTGTTTAAGGAGAAGCTGACATGAGTGAGTGGTTGTGATCTTACATGTAGAGGTTTGTTTCCCCAACCCTTTTACTTAACCAGGATTCCTAGGAAGGAAAGCTGAATCCATGAAAAAAGAAAGACCTAAGTGTATACAGACCTCGACTCTACTTGTGGTATTTTCTGCTTGGCCCCAGGAGAAGAGTCAGCCTCTTTTTGAAGTCATGATTAGGGCCCCCAAATCAGACTTATTTTCCTTCTACACCTTGAGAGTTTGGAAAGTGACAGCGGCGGGCTGACTGGAGAGAGGGATGGCAGGGAACCCAGGGATTTAAATCCCCCCCAAGACTCTCTGCTGGCGGCCAGGAAAGGCGGCGGGGGCAGAGCCTGGGCTCCTTACTGCCGGAGCGCCGCTCCAGGGCGCTCCGGCAGAAAATGACCCCTGCCTATAAAGGTGTTATTTATTTATTTATTTATTTAAGTTGTTTATTAGTAGCCTTTCTTTCTTTTGGAGCTCAAAGCAGCTTACAATATAAATAGAACACATAAAATCTTCTGGGCATGGACCAAGGCTCACTGAGGGTGTGTGTGGGGGGAGGTATTTATGAATTCCCTGCATTGTGCAGGGGGTGGGACTTGATGACCCTGGATGATCCTATGAAAACAGAATACATAAAAATACATAAATACATAAAACAAAAAACAGTTTCCATCAGATGCAGTCCAAAATGAAACTGTCCCCTGCTGCATCCTAAAAATCGAAGGTGAGGGGGCCAGAATGCAATTCCCTGGAAGGCTGTTCCGTAATCATGGGGCTGCCACAGAAAAGGCCCTGTCATGTGTGCGCACCAGGTGAGCTTCTTTGATTGGTGGGACAGTCAAGAGGGCAGCTCCCTAAAGTCTTACTCCCCAAGCCAGGAACATATGAGAGCAGACAGTCCTTCAAATGCCCCAGTCCCAAGCCACATAGAGGGGAGGAGAAGAGAAGAGACTGGGTTTATACCCCGCCCTTCACTATCCGGAGGAGTCTCAGAGCGGCTCACAAACTCCTTTCCCTTCCCCTCCCCACAACAGGCACCCTGGGAGGGAGGTGGAGCTGAGAGAGCTCTGACATAAACTGCCCTTGAGAGAACAGCTCTGACAGAACTGTGGCTTGTCCAAGGTCATCCAGCAGCTGCGAGTGGAGGAGTGGGGAATCAAACCCGGTTCTCCAAGATTAGAGACTGCGCACTTAACCACAATACCAAACTGGCTTTACAACTGAGAAGCAGAGTTGTAACTGAGCAACAAATGGCACCCAGGGGTCAACCCATGTGCTTGGCGCACCATACCTGTGGGCCTGCAGTTCTGATGAACTGCTCTGTCTTTGCGGCCGCCGAGGGCGAGACTGGAAAGGGAAAGGAGAGCGTGTTAGACAATCCCTTCAACTTGACATCTTTCAGGGGTCCGTTACCTTTGTCTTTTATCTTCGGGTCCCCAAAGAAGTGGGCAGTGACTCCCGAAAGCTCCTCCCCTGCTACAAATTTTGTTATGTCTTGGAGATGCTCCCGGACTCTTGCTCTTTTCTCCTGCTACAGACACAGACTAACAGAACTTCCCATCTTGACCTATCTGAAGAAGTCAACCGTGACCCAGGAAAGCTCCTCCCCTGCCACAGATTTTGCTTTTCTTTTAAGGGGCTCCTGGACTCTTGCTCTTTTCTGCCGCTACAGCCGAACATAAGAACATCAGAGAAGCCAATGTTGGATCAGGCCAGAGGCCCATCCAGTCCAACTCTCTGTGTCACACAGTGGCCAGAAATACCAGGTGCCATCAGGAGGTCCCCCAGTGGGGCCAGGACACTAGAAGCCCCTCCCACTGTTGACCCCCCCCAAGCACCAAGAAGACAGAGCATCCCTTGCCCCTGACATAAGAACATAAGAGAAGCCAATGTTGGATCAGGCCAATGACCCATCCAGTCCAACACTCTATCACACAGTAGCCAGAAATACCACTGCCATCAGGAGGTCCAGCAGAAGACAGAGCATCACTTGCCCCAGAGTCCCTATCTATACCTCGTGGCTAAGAGCCACTGATGGACCTCTGCTCCAGATGCTTATCTAATTCCCTTTTGAAGCCGTCCATGCTTATAGCCACCACCACTTCCTGTGGCAATGACGGTGCAGGTATGGACAGGTATGGTGCAGGCCCACAGGTATGTTTACCCATCTTGGAGTGCGTTCAGACGGGCAGCTAATCCTGCCATTATGCCAGTTTGAATGTTATCCCGATCTTTTTAATCCATTGTAGCACGACCAGACATCCCCCTGGTGAATCGCCTTACCGCGCGCTGCCTCCGTTGTGGATTGTCTAGATTGTCCACTGAAGGAGGCATGCGCGGTGGCTTTTTTGGAAAAAAACCTTTTTGCGCATGCGCACAGGCGTCACAGCGCGTCCTTGTTGAAGGAGGCGTGCGGTGGTTTGTTTTGTTTTTTTTAAAAAAACCTTTTTGCGCATGCGCATAGACGTGACAGCACGTCCTTGTTGATCCGTGCATGTGTAGAGATTTTTTAAAATGGCGCCCGCTCTGGATGGTCTGACATCAGACCACCCCGACGGGAGGATTGCGCGCTGGTGGAACGATCAGACGGGTGAAAGTCCACAGTTCTCCCGCAGGTAACCGAAAACCCCAGATTTAAAGTGGTATCTTTTTAAGTACGGCTCCGAAGCGCGGCAAAACGGGATACCCACAGAAGAGGGACATTTCCCAGATGTTTGTGTCTGGACATTGCCTTTAGATCCGTGAGGCAATTGTGCCTCATGCGGATCTAAAGAGCCGTCTGATCGGACTCCTGATCTACCTCTCTGATGAAGAGACTCTCAAAAGCTTATGCCCTGAGAATCTTGTTGGTCGCTAAGTTGCTACTGGACGCAAATCTAGAGTCATGTAGAGACTTCAGAGACATCCGCGATGCCTTGCCAGTGTTCCCTCTAAGCTGAGTGAGTGTGAGCCAGCTCACAGTTTTCTAGCCTCCGGCTCACACATTTTTGCCTCAGCTCAGGAAGGAGGGCTCCAGAGCAAACAAATTCATGCAGCAGCCAAATCGCTCGCTCACAACTTTAATGCCACTAGCTCACAAAGTATAATATTTGCTCACAAGACTCCACAGCTTAGATGCAGTGTTCCCTCTAAGCTGAGTCAGTGTGAGCTAGCTCACAGTTTTTTAGCCTCCAGCTCACACATTTTTGCCTTAGCTCAGGAAGGAGGGCTCCAGAGCAGTGTTCCCTCTAAGCTGAGTTAGTGTGAGCTAGCTCACAGTTTTTTAGCCTCCGGCTCACACATTTTTTTCTCAGCTCAGGAATGAGGGCTCCAGAGCCAACTAATTTATGCCGCAGCCAAATGGCTCGCTCACCACTTCAATGCCAGTCGCTCCCAAAGTAGGATTTTCACTCACAGCTTAGAGGGAGCTCTCTTTCTTTGCAGTCCTGGGCACTGGAAATGTCTTGACCACCAACATAGTTTTTTAATCTCTGCTTCCTCCCTACCTTCCCAAAGTGCTGAGTGATGGGCAGCCGGCTTTGCAAACTCTCCGACTGGCTGTTCCTGGTAGCCTGGATGGGGCTGGAGATCTGTTCGCAGGGCAGGGAGCGGCCTCCCGGTGGGTGCTGCTGGTCCACGCTGGAGTCCTAGGGGGAGATGGGAATTCTTTTGAACGCAACCTCTTCTCCCCTCCCCAGAGAGTCAAAAAAGGGCACTTTCACACATCCCGAATAATGCACTTTCAGTCCACTTTCAATGTACTTTAGCAATCGTTTGCAAGTGGATTTTTGCCACTTCCTCCTGTAAAACCCAGCTGCAAAACATATTGAAACACATTATGCTTTATTGAACACATGTGAAAGTGCCCAAAGAAGATGGTGATATAGTAGAATAATAGAGAACCAGCTTGGTGCAGTGGTTAGGAGCATGGACTCTAATCTGGGAGAACCCGGTTTGATTCCCCACTCCTCCACATGCAGCCAGCTGGATGACCTTGGGTCAGTCACAAGTTCTCTCAGAGCTGTTCTCTCAGGAGCAGTCCTCAAAAGAGCTCTCTCAGTCCCACCTACCTCACAGGGTGCCTGTACTGGGGAGGGGAAGGGAGAGGAGATTGTAAGCCGCTCTGAGACTCCTTTGGGTAGTGAAGGGTGGGGTACAAATCCAATCTCCTCCTTCATCTTCATCTTCTTCTTCTTCTCTAACTTTTGTACACCCTGAATAATGCATTTTCCATGCACTTTGTCACTGCGTGAAATGGCAAAATCCACTTCCAAATGATTGCTAAAGTGCATTATTCAGCATGTGTAAAAGCGAGCGACCTCCATGAGCAGCCAATCAAAAGAAAGAAGGAAGGAAGCTTGCAAAGGAAGATACAGAAAATGAAAGAAAGCACCGGAAAGACGATGCGACGTGTGCTTCTAGAAGCACAGTGAGGTACACAACAAGAGAACACAGTGGTCAGCATGGCGTATTTCCACACCAAAAGATATAAAATATAGAAAAGATGACTACGGTCTCACAAAGAATAACGTCAGATGTTTGAGGCCAGGATGGCTAGTTCCAAGCTCTGTGCCAGGCAAAAAACCCGTCAGCCCTGAGCATTCAACTGCTACAAATACACCAAGAGGAAACAAAAACCGCAGATAAGCATTCCTTATAGATCGTTCACATATTATATCCCTAGAAGGTGTCTGACTTCCCTTTAGAAAGCAGCATGAAAATTCTGAAGAAAGTTCCCGACTGGGGAGGTTTGATCGCTGAACTTGAGTTCATTCACAAATTCGGAACGACGGGCCGAAAAGGGACAGAGGGTTTTTGTCTCACGACAGATGCCAATTTTCTGTCCCTCGGCTAGGGCTGCCAAGTCCCCCCAGGGGGCGGAAAACCCCCGCCCCAGAGGCCCGTTCCCCGACGCCGAGGAATCGGGCCCTGGGGGGAACCCCGCCCCAGTGTGCACGGCAGAGGGAAGTGACGTTATGACGCCGGGCACGCTGGGGGCGGGGCCACGGCCATACAAGGGAAAACTTGTATGGCTCACCGTTTTTTAGCCTCCGGCTCACACATTTTTGTCTCAGCTCAGGAAGGAGCTCCAGAGCAAACTAATTGATGCAGTAGCCAAATCGCTCACTCACAACCTTAATGCCAGTAGCTCACAAAGTAGAATTTTTGCTCACAAGGCTCCACAGCTTAGAGGGCGCATTGGTCACAGCGCCTCACTCGACTTAACGTTCATTTTAAACAGACATAGCTCAAGTTTTCTAGTTGGAAGTTTCATCGGGGTGACAACTGCATCCCCGGTCCTCCACTGCCGTGGATGGGCCAGACTACAGAGAGCCCTCTAGCATTCTGCGCAGCAAATCGGAGTCAGGCTGCAAGGGCTGCAGGTGGCACAGCGCCCGCAAACGTGCACCGAGGAGAGCAGCAGCCCTGCCACTGCTGATTAGGAGGCAGGCCAATGCCAAGGCCGCCATCACATTCATTTTTTGCTCCTTCAGATTTACAGTCGCTCAAAGCAGGGGTGCCCAACATGATCCCCACGGGCACCACAGGCCCCTTCAACACCTTTCCTGGTGCTCACAAAGTATTTTGAGAAAGTGAGTGGGGCCAGGTGGCGCTCCTGCCCAGCAGGGCTTCCGATTGGCTGTGTGGTTTTTTAAAACGTTGCTTCAGCAAAAGCTGCTTCCGCCACACAAGGAGCTTCACTGCGTGACTGAAGGTGTACACAAGGAAGTTGTTTTAAATATATTCATTTTAAAAGGCATCGTATTAAACAGAGCTTCTGTCTGAAATGTCAAAGGGTTGCGATTAGAATTAGGCATAATCACCCTCCCTAATATTTTCCAGCTGGCTCCTCCTCCCGGGGCAGCCATTTTATGGATGATTCTGTCTCCTGTGGGAACCATTTTGTGGTTGGCTCCACCTCTTGCGGCAGCCATTTTGTGGTTGTACCCACCAGCCCACGACAGAATTCCTATGGTGTCCACAGATTCAAAAAGGTTGGGGACCCCAGACTTACAGCATTTTAAGGGAAAGTTCAAAACTGAGGGGGAGGGACGGTTAATGCCATTGACTCCACCCTCCAAAGCAGTCACTTCCTTCAAGGGAACTAATGTTGCCAACCTCCAGGTGAGGACTGGAGATCTCCTAGAATTACAACTGATCTCCAGATTACAGAGATTAGTTTCTTTTCTTTTTTTAATGCCCCCCGAAGGGGATTTTTTAAATTGCATTTTCTAAAAACTACAGAAAAAAGGGAGGGTACTAATACATACTACAAGAAGGGGAGACAGAAAAGTGGGTCCAAGGTGTGGTGATCATACAGAATGCTTACAAATATGGCATAAACATACACTTTCAGTTGTTGACGTTGAAGGTGACAGTTAAATATGGAGAGCGGGCTTTCTTCATGGTGAAACCACGAAAACACAAGCGTAGACCAGTTCCTTCTGGCCTTTGTCAGGCTTCTCTTCCCAGTGTGAGGCAATTTCGTGGGGACGGGATATTACCACAAAGTCTAGTTTGCGGGAGCCTTGCAATAGTCAGGTCTCTCATTGGGTCAGGAGACAATAATCTTCACAATGGGTTCAATACAGATACGTTGCAAAATCATTTACTGTGGTAATTCTGTAGAAGAGTCTCTTCTGTTATCGCTCACACGCTAACGAATGCTGCGCAATGTAAACAATTTGTTTCATGATACCTGCTTTAGCTGAGCGTGTAGCAATCACAATTCTTATCAATTACTACTTATCAACGCTTGAAGGAAACTAATAACAGAACCCAAGGTCTTCACAATGGGTTCAATACAGATACGTTGCAAAATCATTTACTGTGGTAATTCTGTAGAAGATTCTCTTCTGTTATCGCTCACACGCTAACAAACGCTGCGCAATGTAAACAATTCGTTTCACAATACCTGCTTTAACTGAGCGTGTAGCAATCACAATTCTTATCAATTACTACTTATCAACGCTTGAAGGAAACTAATAACAGAACCCAAGGTCTTCACAATGGGTTCAATACAGATACGTTGCAAAATCATTTACTGTGGTAATTCTGTAGAAGAGTCTCTTCTGTTATCGCTCACACGCTAACGAATGCTGCGCAATGTAAACAATTTGTTTCATGATACCTGCTTTAGCTGAGCGTGTAGCAATCACAATTCTTGTGAATTGCTACTTATCAACGCTTGAAGGAAACTAATAACAGAACCCAAGGTCTTCACAAGGGGTTCTGTCATTGGAGAGTCAACATGGAATGTTTCCTCGCTCCCCTATCAACCCCTATCCCAAAGAATCTATATCCCCGATCTGTACCCAAGCTTATTCATGCTAACAACAACAACAACAAAAAGATAGGCTTAACAGCAGTCGGGAGGACCAGATACTCAACAGCAGGAGGCAACAGTTCTTTCTCAGACATGGCGGGGCCAAACTCTTACCTTCAGGTTTTTCACCCACAGCTGGTAGGAATGCAGGTTACCTGTGGAGGAACAGGGCACAGGTGAGTTCCCTTGGCCACTCCTTGTCTTTCCAGAATCCTTACAGAAGCCAGGGCCTTGAATTGTCTCTTCAGGGTGGCTGGCATTCAAGGATATGTCCTCTGCCAGTGCTGTGAGCATGAGGGGATGGAGCGTCCTGTGGGGAATTGGGTACAGGAGGCAAAGGGCTGCTTCAAACACATCCCCAATCTCCTCCTTGTAAGGAAGCGTGTGGATTGACTATCAGGCAAAATGATCACGTCGGTATCTAGGGGTCCTTTCCTGCTGGAGCACACAGGAGCGGAGCTCTGGCAGTAAGGAGCCCAGGGGGCGGGCACATGCAACAAGCCCCACCCCCTGCTCCCAGCAGCCCTCAGTCAGAGCAAGAAGCAGCCAGGTAAGTTGCAGAGCTCCCTCCAGCCCCCCCACGGTCCAAAACAGTCCAGTGGCACCTTTAAGACCAAGTTTTATTCAGGTACAAGATCTCCCTCCTCTGCGAGGACACATCTACATGTTCCCCCCACCCCCCAATAGCTAGCAATACAAAACAGTCCAGTGGAGCCTGAGTGGTGGGTGTTGCCTTCTGACACACTTCCGGTTATGTCAGGGGGTGTGGCATATGCAAATAAGTTATGCTAATGAGCTCCTGCACCTCTTTTCCTACAAAATGACCCCTGTCGGTATCTATTTAGTTTCCCGTCTCTGCGCTTTACCCAGTTGGACCTTACCAGGGGTCCATTTTCATTTGGAAGTTTTATCTGCTGCAGAAGTGCCTTCTGGGCAGGAAAGGTGTACGATTACCCCACGAGGGTAGGCTGCAGAAACCGTTAGAACAGGAGGCCTTTCCGCTGTCTCTTAGCCTCAGTCTTCCGAGGGGGCTACCAGTGAGTCAGAGGGATAGATAGGCATAGGGCACAGACAGGGTTGGAGGCAGGGGATCCCCTGGTTTGGAGGCCCTCCCCCCCTGCTTCAGGGTTTTCAGAGAGCAGGGGGAGGGGGGAAATGTCTGCTGAGCACTCCGTTATACCCTATGGAGATGGGTCCCCATAGGGTATAACGGAGAATTGATCCATGGGTATCTGGGTCTCGGGGAGGCTATTTTTTGAGGCAGAGGCACCAAATTTTCGGTATAGCATCTGGTGCCTCTCCTCAAAAACTACCCCCAAGTTTGAAAGAGATTCTAATAGAACATAAGAACATAAGAGATGCCTTATCTGCTGCAGAAGTGCCTTCCGGGCAGAAAAGGTGTACGATTACCCTGCGAGGGCAGGCTGCAGAAATGGTTAGAACTGGAGGCCTTTCCGCTGTCTCTTAGCCTCAGTCTTCCGAGGGGGCTACCAGTGAGTCAGAGGGATAGATAGGCATAGGGCACAGACAGGGTTGGAGGCAGGGGATCCCCTGGTTTGGAGGCCCTCCCCCCCTGCTTCAGGGTTTTCAGAGAGCAGGGGGAGGGGGGAAATGTCTGCTGAGCACTCCGTTATACCCTATGGAGATGGGTCCCCATAGGGTATAACGGAGAATTGATCCATGGGTATCTGGGTCTCGGGGAGGCTATTTTTTGAGGCAGAGGCACCAAATTTTCGGTATAGCATCTGGTGCCTCTCCTCAAAAACTACCCCCAAGTTTGAAAGAGATTCTAATAGAACATAAGAACATAAGAGATGCCAATGTTGGATCAGGCCAAAGGCCCATCCAGTCCAACACTCTGTGTCACACAGTGGCCAGAAATACCAGTGCCATCAGGAGGTCCACCAGTGGGGCCAGGACATTAGAAGCCCTCCCACTGTTGACTCCCCCCCCAAGCACCAAGAAGACAGAGCATCACTTGCCCCAGAGCCCCTAGCTATACCTTGTGGCTAATAGCCACTGATGGACCTCTGCTCCATATGCTTATCTAATTCCCTTTTGAAGCCATCCATGCTTGTAGCACCCACCACTTCCTGTGGCAGTGAATTCCAAGTGTTAATCACTCTTTGGGTGAAGAAGGACGTCCT